TTTATATATATATATATATATATATATATATATAAAATAGTATAGAAAATATGTTTACAAAATATAATACAAAATATTTGTTTAAAATGATCACTTTTCCTTTATTAAAACAATTATTACAAATGACATTAGATTTGATCAGATTAATCAAAGTTCTTATTAATGGATTTCAAATATCCACTATATGCAATGTGCTACTATAAACATGTAGTTTAACACCACAAAAGTAAAACTGCATCACTGTTTTCAACTTTGTCCAACTTTTAAGAAGGTTTTGAACTTTGTCCAACTTTTTAACAAGGTTTTAACTTTGTCCAGATTCTTTTTTGTTTCCGTAAAAAAAATTTTTTGCACAGGCAGCTGTTCAAACAGACAGCTGCTCAGGCCCTTCATTCAAATGGAAGTGATTACAAATCAAGCCAGTGTTGTCTTTGAGTTGATCCATTGCTATTTCAACAAGTAATCCTTGGTCTCATGCACATGTTCCTGAGCACAAAAACAGACTCAAGCGCTCTTATCCATTGACGAATCCAATGACCAAATTTGATGCATGTTATAGCGACAATGCATTACATTTATACAGACCAAAGGGGCCTAAACAGCAGCATCATGGCACCATTGGATTTGAGATGCTGTTGGACGGAGAAGCTTCTAGGAGCCATGTAATCTCTCACTCGCAACACATTTTTTCCGTATTGCTCTGTATGAGAAGAATCCATCTGACCAAAGCCTCTGTGGCGACAGAAAGCGCTCCATGCCAATCTCCACGCGGGCATGCCTACGTGCAATAACAGAAAAAACGTACACGTAAAGCGTAACACATGCACATACATCAGCACAAACATATGCATTTGCACACATGCACACCCAACGTGACCCCAGCTGTTCCTTGCTCTCACTGCATGCAGCAGGTGTAGGGTGGACCTTGAGGGACAGGGTGGGAGTTGGCACGGCTTTTTCAGAGAACAGAATTGCTATTGTTACAGCTATGCGCTCCGTCCCACGATGTGACTGGAAATTTGTATCGTGTTCTTTCTGCTTTGTGTAATGCTAGGGCACAGCTGCAGAGCAAAGCGTTCATAACAATTCTAGTTCATGCCTTATATGTCTCTTCTGGCTTGTAGAACCCCCCTGGGACCCGTCCAGCAGTTTTGAGCTTCATGTCTTTTTGGCACTTGTTGAATTCTGCGCTTTTAAGTTTATTAAAGGAGAATGATTCAAGCCCCCCAACATGGTTTCCAAAGTTTATCAGTTGCATTTTACAACAGTATGATCATTCTGTAGTGGCTTCCACAGATATGGCCTCCCATTAAATGGAAAGTAATCAAAAACATACTCTTTATGTACTATCTATCTATCTATCTATCTATCTGTCTATCTATCTATCTATCTATCTATCTATCTATCTATCTAGAGCGAGAATGGCAGACAAACATCAACAACCCGATCTTCCTTCCTGGTATTGTAGTACTTTTACTAACTTTACTATAAAGTTTTCTCACCGGTGAACGACACATGATGTAGCCAAGCGGTTCCCAATTCCAGTCCTCACGCCCCCCGCTCTGCATATTTTGCATGTCTCGCTTAGTTAACACACCCGATTCAGATAACCAGCTCGTTAGAAGAGAGCTGCGTGCATGAACTGTGTTCCGATTGACATGCTCCCTACACAGTGTTCTTTGCTCCCTGAGCAAATGTACGTCTCGCACACTTTAATGCCCTTTGTATGGAACATATACGCTCGCTTCGAACTGGAATCATGGCGGAATATCTGGTGATGTCCACGTCGCAGGGCACTTACGGTCGAATAGAACAAACGTTGCATGTCATAAGAGATACATATGAAGTCGCGAGGACTGGAATTGGGAACCGCTGATATAGCCTATTGTAGTAATATTGTCTCTGGTATTCTGGTCTGTGAGCGTATATGCGTTCAGGGGGCGAGGCTTTGGACAGCGATTGCAGGGAGGGCGGGACGTTCGCTTTCAGTGCTATCAGGCTAAAGTTAGCATTTTCCAAGATCTCCTACTGCACCTTTAAGGAAAAACTCAATATTTAATAGGCTGATCTGGTTGAGTCTAAAGGGAACCTTATACAACCCAAAAACCCCCACCCCCCTCCCCGCCCATAAAAAAACTGTCCTAAATGCTCAGGCAACAAAGCAAGGGCCAAAGGCATTAATGTCTAACTTATGTCTCAAGCTGTGTGTAGAAGAAACACAAATGCATGTTAACAAATACACAAAGGGACAGTCCAAACTGAAGCAGATGTGATGGGATCCGAGACGGCTGGGAAAACGGACCCCGCAGCACCTGTTAATATTTAAAAACAATGGAAGTGCAAAAATTAAGGAAAACAGAGCAGTGGTGACATCATCATTTTTCAAACAGGCTCAGTAGGGAGGGGGTTTTGGTGGGGTCTGTTAGGGGGTCAGCTGGTTCCAGGGCAGGAAACTGAGAAAGAAGGAATTCGAGAGCTCAAGAACTCAGCAGCTATGTTCGAAAGATTTAGCAAACAATGTGAAGCTGGAAGTGACCTGCATATCAGCCTCTCCGGCTCCTGGTGTTATTAGACAAGAGCTGTGGTAGATTTTATATTAATTATTTATTAATATAATACATTTAATTTAATTGATGTTATTTAATGAATATAATAATTACAAATGCATTTATCTAATTGATTATATTAATAATATACATCTCATTTAACCTCTTGAGACCCGGCAAAACATTTTAGGAAAAAAAAAATATTTTTTTAATGTCATTACATTGTTTAGAGCATTAAAAAAAATTAAAAATTATATTTCATTCATAAGTTATGCTACGTCCTTGGTAGAGGCATCGGGACTCAATTTTTATTTTTTTTTGTAAAAAGACATGAATGAACATGCATAGGCAAAAACAATTGATTTTTTTAAAATCGCCAATACATTTGTAGTTTTCAGGATTTTTTTTTTTTTTCCAAACTTTGTATAAAGATAATGTCCTGTTTCGTAACAGAAACTCATATTTTGATTTGAAACCCCATAACATTTTCCTGAGATGTTGATTTATGACACACAGTTTAAAAATTAGTCAGATTTAAATGATAATTACAAAATATTATCATATTTCCATAAGAGTGTCACTAAATTAATATCAGACATTTTTGAAGACCAAGGAGAGGGAGTGGTCTTGGTGAAACATCCAAACATTTAGTATCTCATTTCTGAAAAGCCCTGAATGTGCTCTGTACAGGACATCCAGACTTAAAACTGTGGCATGTATAGTCTCAGAGAAATTCACTAAAATATAATGTCCTCATATGAGGATGCAGGGTCTCAGGAGGTTAATATTGTGTATTTGTTTGGAATCTTGTCAAACACCATGTTATGTCCCAAAAAACACATGCACTATAAAGTACCACCATATGAGTTGCTGTGGCTAGGTGGTTTTTTCAATTACTTGAAAGAACAGTCTATTAAATTTAAACTGTCTCCATGGAAACTTAAGAAAAACCCTATGAAACCGCTATTAAGCCTCTTTGTTTAATTCCAACTGCACTTAAAAAATCATTATCTATGCATAAGGGTAGTTCACTCTTAAAAGCTACAGTATACGAGCTGTAGGAGCGCAGGAAATTAAGTAAACTAGCACATTCGGGAAAGCCTAATACCCAATGGGCCATGCAAAGCATTCTGAGCCCCCCAACGTGGCGCTTTTGAAGTAGGCAACTAATCATTTTTGCATGGGCCCAGCACAAGAAAATATATCTTTTTATCTGCTTTGTTTACAGCTGCCAGATTCTGAGACCCTTTGAAATGTGCAGCGGTGTCATGGTGCTTCATTCATCTCCCAAGTTCTCAATTAAAACCCACTGCTCACAAACTGAGAGGAACGAAGAGGAATGCTCAATGTGGAACATCTGCAAACATCACATCTGCGAGGCGCGAACCCCCCTCCTCA